GAGAGGCGTTCTAAACACATACATATCATCACTTGATGTTTCAATCTAAATTTCGTTTATTTCCCACTTTTAGGAAGTCAGTAATTATTACTAAACATGCTTCATGCCTTGTACTGGACACACTTTCAATGAGCAATATTATTCCAAACACATGTCATTGGAAATACAAAAATAGCATAATTTAAAAAAAGAAACTAAAACAGTAGAAGCTCCAAGCAAGAACTAGCAGTACAAGGCCTTAACTTCACATTTCTGCTAGTTTCTGTATGCTGACAGGAAAGTTATATGTGGTGCTATTAAAAATCCAATTCGCGAGTATCCGGTTGACAGCTTGAGTTGGATGAGCATAATCCCAGAACAAATATTGCTCCCTATTAAAACACGTTTCTGCATTCGGGAGACACAACGATTTTCCTTTATTTATCCCGACAGCACAACAAGGCCTGTCCTTCACCGTAAATCCTGTTACAAAAACACGTTAATCACGTGCCATTAATTTTTAATTAGTTTGTTTGGTTACATTTTGAGCTTAATCCAAAAGGTTTTGTTCGATCATGTATATTAGTGAACCGAATCAAGCTCGAACGAGCTTTATTTCGAGTCAAACTTGAAAATCGGACTTAGTAAACAGGCTTGAGAAGAGTTTGGAAAGACAATAGGCAAAATTGAATTTTTAGTCCTATTATTTAACGTTATACATTTTTTGTTCCTATATTTCAATTTCGCCTTTTGTTCTTGTGATTAGTATTTTTTTGCAATTTCAGTCCTTTGTAAGCTTTTTTATTAGCAATTTAAATTTTATAATTTAAATTTTTGTTGCAGTTTCAGTCATCAAATGGCTGAAATTGCGTTGAATTTTGAATCATAGGACCAAATAGTAAAATGTCAGATCTTATGACTAAAAACGCCACCAATCAAACCAACAGGACTGAAACACAATTTTTCCATGGACAATGTATGTTTTTCGCATCAAGATTTCCAAATAGTTGCAAAAAAAATTATAGTTTCTCACCATAAGCATCGGCATTGGCACGCAAGTTCAAGAATATTTCGAAACAATCACCAAGAGTGAAGATCAAGCCAGGGTTTTCTGAATTGAGCTGATTTACTAAGGGCTTTAGTTGGGAATTGAACATTTGGACGAAATTATTCGATTTTGACTCGCACTCTCCTGGAGGGACATTGCTCTGGCCTAATTTATTCGGTATGCAACCAATAGGGGCAACCTTTGCAATAAAGAACTTTCGGAGGCCCAATTTTTGCAATTCCTACACAATGAAACATGTGCAAATGATAAATTTAGATGATTGTAACATATACTTAGACTATGATTTAGATTTCAGTTAAGTTGTATTAGAAAAAGTAGTCAGGATAATAGGAATTGAAGCCATTCTTACCAATATATGCTTTAAGTATTGCTTTATGAGGAGATCAGCAAATTCTTGAGGGCTATAAATCTGGCTACTTTTGTGTCTTGAAGGATATAAATAATTGTTAAGGTAATCATTCGCGCCCATGCCAAGATAAACGACAGCCTTCGCCAAATAATTGTTCAAATCCTCTGTCTGCATTTGATCTTTGAGTTGATTCAACGTATTTTCGAAGTTACTGATCTGTCCACTTAGGGGGATCACTCGGCCCTACTCAATTTTCGTAGAATTTTTAGTTTTTTTGTTATGATTAATATCAACATTCGGCAAAAATGTCAATATTAATTTCTATATAATTAAAGTACATAGATTCGTGAAGTGGAACATTACAAAATGATTTCCGGTGTCTTCAAGAATTCCAGATCCGGCTGAAGCGTAATTTACTCCATACATGATGCTCTCGCCATTCACATTAGTATCTGCATATGATGGAATAAGTGGAAGTCCCAATAATTCACCTGCATGAAAAAATACAGTGATTTTGAAGAATAGTTACTGCACAATTAGTTTAAATGTGATTAGGCTCAACTATATTGTCTTTCTATTAGTAAATTTCGAGTAATCTTATGATGAATGAAGGATGAACAATTATTATGTAATATTGTAGCTAATTTAGTAGGAGATAAAAATGAGTAAATACCAATGTAGTCGACAAGTATCTTCCCATTGCAGAATCTTCCATTGGGCCCCTTTTCGTAGTCGATGCCGTAAGGCCAATACTTGGCTTTCGCTACGCTATTGACGAAAGGAATGTTGTTTCCATTGTCAATCAATGAATCGCCAAATACGTACATTGCTGTGACTTTTGGCATTGTATTCGCATCAGCCGACAAACGAGCTACAAAAAGGGCCAACACACTGAAAATTATTAACATTAGGACCAAAAAGTGAGCTTCTATTTTCTCTCTTTCCTTTTAACAACTGTCAATTTGCCTGTTTTGGTCTGAAAAAAAAAAATTGGTCTAAGCTGTTTTTGTACACAATTCTGAGTGTTGTTTATATAGACCTCCAATTGGACCTTTAGTTATAGCTGTTAGGCACTGAGGCACCAAGTACAGCTTGGCAAAAGAAAAGGGAAAGGAGAATGTGATGTTTAATGCATGCTTAATTGCTGCCTATGGCAGCCGGCCGGGCTAAATTTGTAGAGAGAAATGCACTGAATCTGTTTACCGACTAAGCATTATGCAAGATGCATATGGATTCTATTGGTTTCAATATAGGTCTGCTAGTTTCTACTACACCCATATGCTAATGCAACTCCAAATTCACTATACCAATAATGAGATTAAAAAATAAAGTAATTCTCACCAAATGAAGTGCATTTCATGCTGAAAATGGGAACTTTATCTGCAAACAGAAACACCAAGCAAGATCGTGTCTATGAAGTGTTGAATATCTGACTTCGGTGATCTTGATAGTCGATTTGTACAAACATAATTGTAAAATTTAGAAAATTGGGCAAGAGGGTGCGGTCCCACGCAGATGAAGCACACCATAAGAAGGTTGACCTGGTGCACCATAGTGAGGTTCCATTTTAAAATCAATTGGTGATAGGAGGAGTAGTCCATTAGGTATATATGCTAGGCCCAATTTCTCTCTATATAGAATCAATGTGAGACAACTCACAACTGATATTCCAACAATAATAAAGACGTATTTATAATTTGAAAATTTAGAAAGATCTATATCTATATCCATATTTATATAATGGACCTGTCTATAATATCAAAATTGACAGTTGGGAAAAAAATTCGTCTACATTTGGCATATAATACCTCTATATATAATTTTCGAGCGTGTTGAGCCTAAGTAGCAGACTCACACGTTTCTGAAACCTATATGATAAATTTTCATGCTTTATTATTTGGTTTAGAAGAATTTTAATCTACTTTCAATCCCAAAAGATATTTATTATCTTTTTTAAGAGCATTCATTATGTTTTAATATTATTTCATTTTCTAGACGTGGATTATAAGGCAATTTATTCTCCAATGTTTCTTTTTCCTCATCTTTCTTTTATAATTATAAAAAAAATTGCTAACTTAAATTATAAATATATTTAAAAGGCAATACAATTTTTATTTATTAATAATTTATATGTTGGGAAATTTGGCCCAACCCAATCCCTGTCTCAAGATCATGGACGTCTGGGCTCAAATCCCGACTGAGCCTTGCCTTATACACTATTGGCAGGATGGAGGATGAGATTTAGGGATTAAATTCCATTTCACACCATATAAATTATAAGCCCTCCCCTCACTCTTGTCAGACTCTCACTCTCATCTCTCTCTGTTCACTGCGCCCCATTTCTCTTTTTCCGTGAGTGAAAAACTCCGATTGATTTCTTGTCCTCTCCTTTTGTTCTTCGTGACCTTTAGAGTGTGTGATAGGTGAGTGTTGTCGTGAGAGCAGTCGTGTGAGCTACTGGAGTGTCCCCGCTGAGCCGCTGTTGTCGCCTCCTTCTCTCGTCGATCACAGGACCTTCGTGGTGCCTCGGATGACTCCGTGTGCGGAGGAGAGTGCCTGGCGACGGGGCTAGGCTGGTGCTGGACTCGTGGGTGTGGTGTAGCCCAGGGTGTGGGCTGAGGAACCGGGGTCGCTGTTCATTGACCATCACCAAGCCGTGACTTACCGAGGGTGTCGGGTTCAAGGGCAATCTGAGCCGGGAGAGACGACTTCGTGTCCCTCTTCGTCAATCGTTCGGTCAAAAGGGGGTTTTTCATTCCTTCTTACTATTTCCTATTTTCAGCACATTATTCCTTGTATTTCTTCCTCTTTGATTATTGTTATTACGAGGACTTATATCGTGTGTTTGCTTTCAGGCTGAAACGGGCTAAATCGGACAGTTAAAGGTGAGCTGGGATCAGCCCGGGAGTTCGGGCAGCAGGCCGGGAGTCCCTGGACTGAAAGAGGGCTGTCCGGGTGGCCTGTAGACGAGCAGCGCCTCTGTCGGGCTCGAAAGGACTGCGAGCGGGTCGATCGAACTCAAACGAAGCTTCCACTGCCAATGACGAGAATCGGGACGGCAACACAACATTATATATATAATATATTAAATTAATCATGTCTTAATGAGTTTCGATTTGACATCTGTAGTGTACATAAAAAATAAGTAATAATTATATTTATATTTAAAATAAAAATTAAATTATCTATTAACATTAATTAGAAAAAAAATTATTTAAATTAATTTAACTACAAACTAGTAATACGATATATGTTTTTATATATAATATATCAAATTATAATAATTTTTATATATAATATATTAAATTAATCATGTCTTAATAGCAAGTGCATAAGCTATACCCATATATATTTTTCATGCCAAAATTTCTTTTCAATATTGTTTTCGTTTCCATGATTACTTCATAGCTACTTCTGATGATCAACATAGCATATATATAAATACATTTACGATGTATTTGATGTGCTCTTAACATAATATATTCGTTGATTTTAAAATCATCTCACAAATCAAGTCATCAAATTTTAAATGGCATTGTTTCGGACCTAGTTTCCATCAGTGTAATAAATTGATCAATTTGAACATATTTTTCTCTTATTCAACTGCTACAAACCTTAATCTTTTTTCTAATTCACTATCAAAAATTAATGTTTAGACATCCATTTGTTGAACACATGATTGTGCAAATCAACAATCGAGAGAAATACTCTTATCAACATTACATACGTTCTTAGTAAATAAAATAGTATAAAAAAAAGGCATACCATTCTTTTCTTTAAAGCCTTCAACAACCAAATATGCTTTAAGCTTATCAATTGCCCCATCAACGTTATACTTGTTCTTTAGGATCCACTTGCATCCTAAAAGTTTACAATTCAGAAGGAGATCAACCAACTCTCAAGTTAAATTTTGCGTATTTGCCTCAATTTAGTTATTTATAGCTTCTTATCAGAGTGGTCATTTGAGCTAGACAAAGTCCATCCCACAGTCTAAAAACCAAGGTTCAGGCCCATTCCCAGCTGGGAGGCGCATGCATGTGGCTAAATTAAGCTAGCACATACACTTGGTACATAATATAACTTTAAATTAAGCTAGCACATATACTTGGTACATAATATAACTTTAGTTATTGTGACCTACACAAGTCTCTTTATTAAAATAAAAAGTTATCTTCATTTAACCAATGTGGGATATGTTTATTTGACCATGCGAATCCCACAACTAACATTTTAATGACTAACTTTAATCATTTACTTTTTCCTTGCGAAAAATCATTATAGATAAAATAAATATACAACGAGTTCGAAATGTAGAATTTTTTTATACAATTTAATTTAATTAAAGTTAATTTTTTAGCCATAAAAATAATAAGTACATTTTATTATATTGATTTTTAACATCTTCAAAATTATATCAACATGCAACCATGCAGTGGCGAATTTACATGCATCAATAGTCCCCCCCCCTAAATTTTAATTTTTTTTACTATTATAATGAAAAATTTTAATTTGCCTCCTCTTAAATTATTTTTTGCACCCCCAAATTTTTTGTTTTCAAATGTCAATCACAAGTAGTGTTGTAAACGAATCGAAATGAACCGAGCTTGGGCTATTCGAGCTCGTGTTCGTTTACGTTCGAACAATGTTCGTTTTCGTTCATTTATTTTTTGAGCAAAAAATCGTATTTGAATTCGTTCGTTTAATTGTTTGTCAAAGTTCAAGTTCGAATAATATAATACATAACTTTTTAAATATGTTTGAGTAACTCGAAATTTGTTCATTCGAACTCGAAAATAAAAGAATAAAATAAAAATATTTTTATATTTTAGATTTTTTTCTAAAAATATTATGTAGATATAAAAAAAATAAATAAAATTATATTAAATTTTAGATTTTTTATTAAAAATATTATGTAAATACATAAAAAATAAAATAAACTTATATTAAATTAATGTTCGCGAACATAATCGAACGTTCACGAACGAGCTCGTGTTCGTTCGATTATTAAACGAGCCTAATTTTCTGTTCGAACTCGGCTCGATTAACAAACGAACGAGCTTTTATCGAACACGAACGAGCTTTTGTTCGCGAACGTTCGGTTCGTTTACAGCTCTAGTCACGAGGCCAACAATTGTAATTATAAGGTAACTTGTTTCATACATTATTGTTATCTTTTACAAATTATGTCATGTCTTTTGCCCCCTCTCAACTAATTTTCTAGTTCCGCCCCTGCAACCATGCATCTTATTTGTGAGATATTTCTGTAGACATCGAAATTTTAATATTTTATTAATTAATGTCTTTATTTAGACATCGAAATTTTAATATTTTATTAATTAATGTCTTATCTTAAGATTTGACTTGGTGGACAAGAAATAATAACATTATTAATTATATATCTTATTTATTATGGATTTTATGTCCAAAAATAAATAAAGACAATAATTAATAAAATATTAAAATTTCGATGTCAACAGTTTCAATCCAATCTTGATATGGCTTCTGTATTCTTTTCTCACTGTTAGTAAATCAATATTACTTAAAATGCTTCATGCATGTTACTGCACACACTTCAGATAGCAATATTA